CAAGAATTTTAAAGCAATGGCTGAAAACCAGCAAAATCAGAAAATAAAAATATTGCGCACAGACAATGGTGGTGAGTTTTGTAGCAGTGAGATGGAGAATTACTTACACAAAGAAGGAATTATCCACCAGAAGACAACTGCATACACACCTGAGCAAAATGGTGTTAGTGAACGGGCCAACAGAACTATTGTAGAGAAAGCACGATGTTTACTTTTCGATGCAAAACTAGAAAAGGAGTTCTGGGCTGAAGCAGCTAATACAGCAGTATACTTAAAGAATAGATCTGTGACTTCAAGTTTGGGAAATAAGACACCCTATGAAGTGTGGTACCAGAAGAAACCAGATTTAAGTCATATTCGTCTGTTTGGTAGCCCTGTAATGGTTCACATATATTACGTCTTTTCTCACACGACACGATGTTTTTCGGAGCTCTCAATAAAACTACCTGCCCGGTAACAACGCTCGATTTATTCTGTCCGTTTAGTGTTTACATGCTTTTTTTCGTATCATACAAGTTTGTGGATATATTATCTAGTCTTCCGACGTTGCCGTCCTTGGACTCGATGTAATATTTTTCGTAACAATCGGCCTTCCTGACCCTCTGGTGTCCTCGCCAGTGGTATAGTACCCATGGTTGTTATTTGTAGCCCTAGGAAAGAAACAAAATACAGTACCATTTTACTACAAAATCTATTACAGGGTGGATGAATTTATAGCATTGTTCACTCACAGCCAGTGTGACTTTAGTTACCACACTTCATAATTTTTTTTTCAGTGTGATCTTAGTTACCACACTTATATACCTTTATTAATGTGTGAGCTTAGTTACCACACTTCATGTGTATTTTTTTTTTCACAGTGTGATCTTAGTTACCACACTTATATACCTGTATTAATGTGTGAGCTTAGTTACCACACTTCATGTGTATTTTTTTTCAGTGTGATCTTAGTTACCACACTTATTAAATCTATCAGATTGGTGTGAACTTTGTTACCACACTCATGCTATCTTCGATAGTGTGAACTGTGTTACCACACATATAGTTATGTATGCTACCTTTCATCTAGTGTGATCTCGGTTACCACACTACCACTGATTCACAATAACACTGCAACTCCAGTAACCAGTTTTATTACATGATAATTAGAGGACATATAAATATATCTATACCTTACAGACTAACCTTCTAACAAATCAATCAGCTCATCTGTACTATTGACCTCGCTTTCACTTTCTCTAATATCAACGACACCACCTTTCCATTCTCTCAAGCTATCCGCAGATACTATAGCTCTAAATCTCTTATACCCCTTCAAGCCCTCCAAAGATGTTATTTCATATCTATCATTTCCCAAAACCTTCTTGATTTTATAAGGCCGACCAAACTTTTGATAACCTACTTTCCTACTAACTTCTTTTTGATTTGTATTCGCCCCTGACCATAATACAAGATCACCCTTATTGTATGACTTTGTAGGCGTGTGCTTTTCATCGAAACGTTTTTTCATTTTATATGCCTGTATGTCCATCCTGTCTTTTGCCTTTCGCTTAGCATCGGGCGGGACCTCAAACTCATTATCTCCCAGATCAGCATGACGGTTTTTTTCATAACCAAACATTAAAAGGTGTGGCGCATACCCGGTAGTATCGTTCACTGTATTATTAATACCCCATAAAGCTTTAGGAAGAGCTCTCTGCCAATCACTTTCATTTTCTATAGACGTATTTATCCCGTTTAATATTGTTCGATTATACCTTTCGATTTGCCCATTTGCTCTTGGACATGCTATAGCGTTTAAAATATGTTTAACTTGATACTGGCTTAAAAATAATTTGAACGCTTTACTAGTGAAAGCTTTTCCACGATCTGAAATTATTCTTTTGGGAGTCCCGAACATACTAAATAAATCGTCTAAATGTTCATTAACCTCTTTAGCCTTTGTAGTTTTTGTCGGTCTAGCAAATACAAATTTAGCGAATGAATCAATTATCATGAGAATATATGAATTTCCCCTATCACTTTTAACAAATGGGCCTAAATGGTCAATATGCCATGTATGAAGCGGTTTGCACGGCTTACTTATGGGAAAGAGTTGTCCTTGTTGTTTTCCATATTGTCCCCTTTTATACTGACAATCTAGGCACGCAGTTACGTATTTTTTTATAAATCTAGTCATATTTTTGAACCAAAATTTGTCCTTGATAATTGCCTCGCATCGTTTTAGTCCTACATGGCCGATATCATCATGATATTTCCGCAATATGTTAAATCGCGCAGACTTTGGAACAACCAGCTTAAGCTTACCATCCAACGTCTTACGATACAATTTATGATCCCTTATTTTATAGTTATTTAAAATGTCCTTGTCATTTGCTGCGGCTAACTTTTCTTTTATTATCCGTATACTTTCATCTTGCTGTTGTAATGCTAAAACCCAATCAGACGCGTCCATAATAAGTACATCGCCCACTGGATTTCTACTTAGAGCATCCACATGTTTCATTTTATCACCCGGACGGTGTTCTATTTCGAAATCGAAATCTTGGATACTCAACCACCATCGTGCAACCCTAGGTAGCAAATCTTTTTTCTCAAAAGTACCCCTAACTGCACTACAATCTGTGACTATTTTAAAATGTATCCCTGTCAAATAGACCCTAAATCTTTTGATTGACTCAACAACAGCTAAGGTCTCTAACTCGTATGAATGATATAATTTTTCATCACGAGATGTTGATCGGCTAAAGTAATATACCGGTTTTAACGTAGCTCCCTCATACTGTAGGAGCATACTTCCAATGCCCTTGCTACATGCGTCTGTATGTAGTTCAGTCTTTGCTTCAGGGTCATAAATTTTGAGAATAGGTTTATTTATAAGTATATCCTTAATTTTACTAACAGCTTATTTGTGCTCACTTTCCCAAGACCACGGCACATTTTTTCGTAACAATGTTGTAAGTGGAGCGACAATTTTTGCATGATCTTTTATAAACTTACGGAAATAGGAACTGAGTCCCAAAAACTGCCGTAGCTCATGTATATTTGTTGGATCTTTGAAGTCTGCTACTGCTCTAACTTTTCGATCACCAGGTCTTATTCCTAGTTCCGAAATCTCATATCCAAGGAAATCTATTTGTGTCTGGAAAAATGAGCACTTATCTATATTCAATTTTAAATTGGCTTTGGCAAATAATTCAAGAACTTGTCGTAAAACTTGCAATCCCTGTTCCACAGTGTCTGACGGGATCAGTATGTCGTCGAGATAAACAGCGACCGTATCATATCTCAAATTTCCCAATACATTATTTACCATTTTTTGAAATGTGCCGGGAGCATTAGCGATCCCAAAAGGCATTCTTAAAAATTCATACTGACCGTCAGGCGTTACAAAGGCAGTTTTATTAATGGAATCAGATGCCACAGGCACTTGATAATATCCTTGGGCCATATCTAAACTGCAAAAATACTTTTGTTTTGTAGCCTGGATATCAAATCTTCTATGTGTGGCAGTGGATAATTATTCTTCACCATGATAGAATTTAATTTTCTATAGTCCACGCATAAACGGTAATCTCCGGTCTTCTTTTTTACAAGAACGATTGGACTAGAGTAGTTAGATGATGATTCTCTAATAATACCTCCTTCCAAGAGGTCACTAATTTTATCTCGGACGATCCCCCTTTCAAATTCAGACAAGCGGTAGGGCCTATGAACGATTGGTTTGTCAGATAACAAATCTATTTTCACTTCTACTGATTTACTATTACCTAACTCGAGAGTATCAGTTGCAAAACATTTGCTGAAGCTATGTAAAAGATCATACAACTTATTTCTATCATTTTCTGATAAATTTCCACAAATTATGTTATCCATTTGTAACGATAGAGTGCTTAGTACATTGCCTTCTTCTATGACTGGAAATTTAGTCGAGGAACTTAGCTTGAACCCCTTTGTTAAAATTTGTCCTTTGTCCCAACATATAGGTTTATTACCCCAATTTATGACATTTAACGTTTGAACTGGTCCACTAATAATACAACCTTGTATAGAACAATTTTGGGAACCAGTAAACAGCTGACCACTTATAATAACAATATCGTGGGTATTATCTAAAGCAACCAATATTCTCTTAGAACTTAGAGCAGGAATATGTACATGTTCGAAAACTTCAATAGGCAATTTTTCTATATTATCTAGGAAACTAAACATTTCTAACAAATTATCTTCAGCTGGTTTTAATTGTATATGACCACCTGTAACATTCAAAGTCACCTTTTCGCTATTTATAATTGGTTGTCCAATAATAACATCAACTGAGGACATTTCAACATTTACAAATACCAAAGACGTAGTCATAAAAATCTTGCCAATAGATATCTCTACCTGACTGGTTCCTTCTGGCACTATGTGGGAGCCACTGAAATTCCTCAGTATTATATCAGTCGGATACAATTTTAAATTGAGTTATTGGCTACCCTAATATTAGCAACATTCAATTGACTACCAGTATCAATATACCCATTGAAATGTTGACCATTAATTTCTATGGCTATATTATAGAAAGAATTGGGCACTTGCCTTTGTAAAATTCTGACATCCTTAGGCTTCCCCCGTTCCTTAGTCCAGCAGTTTTCAGCTAGGTGTCCTCTTTTCCCGCAGGTGGTGCAGGTCGATGTCAAACTCGGTCTTTTCCAACAGTCCTGGTCCTTATGTCCCATTTTACCGCAACTCGAACATGTCGGCTTGACTCTGGACCAACACAGCTGCTCCGTGTGCCCCTTCTTTCCGCAACGAGGACAACGGATACCTTGATCACTGCTCCTTGGAGTACTGCTACTAGTCGCCTGATTCGATCTTCTAAGTAAACAATGTCGGGCTTTATGCCCTACTTTCTTGCATAAGATACACCTAAATGTCAATTGTCCAGATGTACTAGGTTGTAGATCAAAATTTTCTGTGGGTACCCATTCTCTTAGCTGGCGACTCGCGAAAACTCGCTACTTTGCTAAGGAACCCGTAGAACAGCTCGTCTGGTGATTCATAGTTCCCAGCTTTTGCGTTAGCTTGCAGTGGTATGGGTAATCATCAATTATGCAAGAAACTGCATTAGTCCCCACTAGTCCACATTTTTTTACCAGCATGTTCTTCGAATAAAAATAATGCATCATGCTCTCATCATTACTCTTACTTCGCGCCAACATTTTTTTTAGCAAGTTGACGTAGTCTGTATGTGCAGGGAAGGCACGTGAGATGGCCAATTTCCACTCGTCCCAATTCAAGTTGTAGTCTGTTAGCCCGTTATACCAAACTTTTGCCAATCCTGTAAGGCGAGACTGCATGCATAATGATTTTTGTTCATCGCTCCAACTATTAATCATTCCAATTTGTTCAATCTTATGTAACCAATTTATGGCAGTGATCTCTGATTTTTCCGGATCAAACTCTGGTATCAAATCTGCTTTCCCGGTGTATTTTGAATCAGTGCTCTGTATGAAATTACGTTGACTCAAAATCTTACTCACTTTTTTTGCCACAAGCTTGTCAACTGTTTTCTCGATCTTCCGTTTTTTTGTTGGAGCACACACATAAAGTCCAGATTGTTTCATTATCATCCTCACTTGAAGTGTCACTCATCTTGCACTAAGTCTATACACAGTACTTAGCAACACGATAACTTATTAACCCGTCACAACTAATCAATATTCAGTAAGTTCTATCCCACCTTCTGAAATATTACGTCTTTTCTCACACGACACGATGTTTTTCGGAGCTCTCAATAAAAACTACCTGCCCGGTAACAACGCTCGATTTATTCTGTCCGTTTAGTGTTTACATGCTTTTTTTCGTACCATACAAGTTTGTGATATATTATCTAGTCTTCCGACGTTGCCGTCCTTGGACCCGATGTATATTTTTCGTAACACATACCAAAAGAAAGAAGATTAAAATGGGACAAGAAAGCCCAAATGAACATTCTTGTGGATTTTCAGAGACAGTGAAGGGATATCGTGTATATGATCCTATAACAAATATTATAACTATTAAGAGAGATATAATAGT